AAAAATAGTTTGTATTTTTATTTATAATTTAAAACTATAATTATATTTTGTTTTTTTTTAATTATTTTAAAATAAAATTTAATATTAAAATTTTTTCAATAATAATTTAAATTGAAAAATTAATAAATACAAATTGTTTAAAATTTTTTCAATAATAATTTAAATTGAAAAATTAATAAATATAAATAACAAAAATTAATGAATATAAATAAATACCAAAATTTAGAATAAATTTTTTAAAACAAAGTGTATAATATACTAAAATGTAATTAATTTTTACAAAAATAAAAAATTACAATAAATGATTCAAATCATCCCGGATTGGGAAAATTATCAATGTCAAATCATCGTTATCCTTGTCATCCAACTGTTGTTGACCGCCAACTTTTTCATTTCCAACAACTGGATTACCACCACCTTGTGATTGCATAAATTGGTGTATCATCGCCTTCATTTCAGCTTGCCTCTTCTTCATTGCCTTTATCTGACGTTGTTGCTCCATCCTTTGAGTCGTCGTTCCGCTTCTCGCTTTAGTTAACACTAATTGTCTTACTGTTTCTAGCATCTCAGGGGTCAATTGTGGTGGATGTGATGTTCCCTCACCATCTCAAACTCTTTGAAATAGAGTTTTGTCCCCTTTTCTCATACCACTGGCCAAAGCTCCAGCACCAAATAAACATTCATGCGTCTCGAAACCTCTTGGAGTATATTGAGGATTCTCTACCAAAAATTGTGTAGCAATACCCGGTAATCCTCCTACATATAAAATAAATAAAAATTAAATTAAATATAGCTCAAATAATTTAAGTTAAATTAAATAATAAATATTGCCATGTGATTTTCATGCCCCAATATCTCAGTTGCCACATGATAATCACGTCACAAAATTATCATTAAACAAAAAAATCAAAACAATTTAAATAAAATGAAACGATTTACTTACCAAAACTTTTATGGTGCGTTCGTCAGTAAAGCCCCCCGATTTTTTTGTTCTAGTCTTTACAACTAGCTCCATCTTGAGTGGAGGTCTCCCCAACCTATGTTCCTAAATAATGAAATTAACTTTAATTAAAAATATATAATAAATCATAATATAACTTAAAATAGAAGTAATAACTACCATGCGTCGAGCATGTTCGACAACACTTATACTTCCAACTACATTAAGGCTACCCTATTTTTGAGATGCTCTCATTTTCTTTGTTTTTTCATATCTTGCCTTAAAACATTAAAAGTAATATATTCGGTTTTTAATTTATAAATTTATACTATATATAAAAATATGTTTTTAATAACAAAAATATAATATAATACACAAAATATAACAAAAATATTTTTTTAATAACATATAATAATAATATAAATATAAATATAACCAAAAATAAATAAAATAATAAAAATAATATACTCGGTTATTAATATTCTGTTTTTAATATATAAACTTAAACTATATATATAAAAAAAATTTAATAACAAATAATAACATAAATATAAATTTGTTTGTGATATAAATATAACCACAAATAAATAAAATATTAAAAATTATATATTTTGTTTTTAATATTCTGTTTCTAAAAATATTCATAAAAAATATAACCAAATATTTAGGTTTTTAATATTCTGTTTCTAAAAATAAATATAACCAAATATAAATATTCATAAAAAATTAGTATTCTGTTATATATATAATTATAGCTTTATATATATTTCTATATTAATATATATAATCTGTTTTAAAAATGTATAATATAAAAACAGAAAAAAATATTTTACGTTTTGAAAATAAATATAGAAAATAAATTATTTAAATAGAAAAAATACAAAAAATATTAATGTAATAATTTTAGATACAAAAAATATTAATCAATTATTTATTTTTCGTTTGAGAAATTAATTCAAAAAATATTAATATAAATAATTTAAACAGAAAAAATTAATTCACAAAATATTTTACAAAAACAAAAATGAAATTAAACATCTACCAACAAGCCAAATAATAATAAATCAAACAAATAAAAAAATTAAATAGCAAAAATACCTCTTCTTCAAACTCCTTCAATCTTTTCGTAAAATATCTTCTTCAATCTCCTTGTTCAGAATCTTCTTTGAATAACATTGATAATATGACAGAAAAAATAAACAAATATTAATCTCAGAAAAAAAATTCATCTTAAACGAAATTAATAAAAATAAATTGAACAATAATCATATTAAGTGAGAAAATATATTACCTTAGAAGGTATTACAATTTAATTTTGGAGAAGCAGAGGTAGAAAAATGAAGAAAAATGGGTAAGAAGAAGAAACAAAGAAGAAGAATATGGGTAAGAAGAAGAAGAAGAAACAATCAGAAAGAGAAAGAAGAAAAAAATAATTAAAGTGTGGTCTGAGAATTTGGTCACGCGTTTAATAAATAAAACCTCAGCGATGTGAATTTCACGTTGCAAAGTTGCCACGTGATATTCAGGTCATAACCTCTAACGGTTAAATTTAAAAACTCACATTAATCATGTATTGACGTGATAATCACGTCGCAAATGTTCCAACAATCATATTCTTTTTGTTAGTCAATCTGCACCATCAGTGACCCATCACTTTCCTGTCAGATTTTTTCCCCCTCCTAAATAGTTGCGATGTGACATTCACGTGACAACAAAAACTTTGAAAATTTCAACCTTCCTGCGTCAGTAGGTCTGACCTTTTTAAATGTTTTTTTCAATTTAAACATTGCGACGTGATTTTCACGTCACAAATATTTTTTTTTAAAAAATATGACACACCATGTGCTACCTTTACTTCTTATTATTTTAATATTAAAAATGTGAGTGACGTGAAAAACACGTCGCAACTGTCCATATTTTGCCACATGTTTTTCACTTCACTAAATCACGTGGCTGGACACAACTATTCTTTTAGTGAATTGTTCTCACACTTGATTTGACCTATCATTAAGAGATGCAACAAATTGATGTAAATAATGTGTTCCTTAATGGCTCTCTTCAAGAAGAAATCTTCATGAATCAACCACTTATTTTTGAGCATCAGGACACAACACTTGTCTGCAAGCTTCACAAAGCATTATATGGCCTCGAGCAAGCCCTTCATGCATGGTATGAAAAATTGACTAAAGCTCTTTTATGTTTGGTTTCTTGCGTGGAAAATGTGACCATTCCGTGTTCATATGCTCACATCAAGGTGTTACCATGTATGCCTAAATCTACATGGATGATATCTTACTTACATGTTTCTCATCAACCTTAATACACATGTTAATCGACTTACTACATGCCACATTTGCACTCAAGAAGTTAGGCAGACCTAAATACTTCATTGGCATTTTCACATCTTCCCAATGGAAACTTACATCTCACTAAAACCAAGAACATTTGTAACCTATCAAATCGAGCTACTATGCCAAATGCAAAAGGTGTAACTACACCAATGCTCATCATCTGCAAGTTAAGCATATATGGTTCAAATCCACTTTCTAATCCTCATCACTACATATCACTTGTAGGCACGATGCAGTATGTCACACTTACACAGCCAGCTATTGCATTTAGTGTAAATAAGGCATGTCAATTTCTGACCTCACCATTTGAGTCTCACTAGGCAGCTGTTAAGCGCATCTTATGATACATCAACAACACAATCAATCATGGCCCGCATCTTGCACATGTGATAACGTCTCTTAAGCTCTCTCGTAGGGCCTACAACTATTCTAATTGGGTCATTGACCAGGTGACCGGCGTTCTACCTCAGACTTGTGCATCTTTCTTAGACCTAACCTTGTATCATGGAGCTCTAAAAAGAAGCCCCTTGTTGCTCGTTCCAGCATTGAAGCAGAATATTGCGCACATGCACACACCATATCTGAAATCTTGTGGTTAGAATCATTATTTGCTGAGCTTTCCATTCCATTTCTTCCACCCACCTTATTATGTGACAACCTAAGTGTATAACCTAAGTGTAGTGCTACTTCTCATAACCCTATTCTCCACGTGAGGATTAAACACATTGAACTAAATATCCACTTTGTCTGTGAACACGTCATTGCAAAGAAGTTGAAGATTCAGCATGTTCCAAACAATGTACAAATTACAAATACACTTACAAAACCACTTGGTACTTCAACATTTCATGAGTTGTGGGCCAAACTTAAAGTCATGTTTTTCAAGCCTCCTTTAGCTTGTGGGAGAGTATTAAAAGAAGATCGTGTAAACTATACACTATATAGATATATCATGTAGTACATGACTAGTATGTGCATTTCATAAGCTTCACAACATGTAGAACAAGCAAGCATTGTTGTAACTTCATGATATACGTATGCATGGAAGAGCATGCATGCTTATATAAGGTGTACATCATCATTATCACTATAGAAGCACTGTATATAAGAGTGCTTAACACTACAATTGCAATCAATTAATTTTATGCAAGGCAGAGTATGATTCAATCAAATCAAAACTCTATTAATGAGATCCCACATAATCCATTCACTTTCAATTCATAAGAAGTAACATCTAAAAATAAGATGGAGAATTAAAATCTTAAAAAATTAAAACCGATGAAGAAACATGAGTGTAAAAAATGATTGAGGATCAAAACTTAAAATAAAATGAAAATATGACTAAACGTATGGCAAGTCAATATTTTCTTATCTCTAAATAATTATCAGATTAAAATATGAATGACTGGTTTGTATAATATATATTTATTATATCTCAAACTACATAAATAATTTACTGATTAAAAATCATTAAAAACAAACAATTTCAATAATAAAATATAATTTTACCACTAATTACAACACAACTAATTATTATTAAAAAAAGTGAGTTTTAAGGAGAAACATGAGTGTAAATACGATTCCTATGACGCGAAGAAAAACTCTAAAAAATTTTAAACAAGGAAATATTCTACGCTGTGATCAACTAAAACTCAAATAGAAATTAAAATTACACAAAAACGAGTTTAGGTATTTCTCCTTGAATAGATCTATTTTGAAGCAACGTGCCTTTCATAATGACCTATGTAATTGGTCATAAGGGTTTCTCTAGGTGGCAATAATTCCTTAACAATAGGGTGATTGTTGAAGTCTTGGCTCCAATTATAAAGCTTGGGAAATTTGTCACTAGTGAACAACTTCAATCCAAATGCTTCTTGTATAATAGGGAGCCAATAAGCTATGATGACAGCAGTAATGTCAACAATTCCAATCTCATTTCCACCAAAAAATTTATCCTTGAGATCATTCTCAAGATGCTGAAGAGCAACCGTTGTTTCCTCAATACCTTGCTCAAGCTCTTTCTCATCATGATAAAAAATAGCTTTCTTTGCAGCATTCATAAGCTGGTTTCACAAATTAAGAAAGATATTGAGTTAGGTTTTAAAACAACGGAATTGACAAGTGTTGATACAGTTGTTTACTGTTTTTATGCTAAAATTAAAAACAGTAGGTAATTTATACCACGGCAACTACAATCAATATCATAACACCTATACGAGCACAAAATTCTTATGCATGTTAAATGTAAGACAATAAAAGTGTGACAGTTACACACATTGATTTTGACCATTAAAGGAGAGTAACAATTACCTTGTCATCTATGATGTTTGACCAGAAACGACTTGAGGCTTTTTGGTAAGGATCCGAAGGCAGTATTGGGTTTTGTTTCCAAGTTTCATCAATGTACTCAAGAATCACACTAGACTCTGATATCTGCTTTCCATTATGAACAAATATAGGAACTTTCTTATAAACTGGATTGTATTTGATGGCTTTCTCACTCAAGTTACCAGCCTTTTCTTCCACATATATGTATTCAATTCCCTTCAATTTTAGAGCAATCTCCACCCTTGTCACATATGGACTTATCACCATTCCAAAAAGCTTCACCTCTTCCTTATTTGATGCCATCTTAGCACACTGATTCAATTTCTAATATTTATTTGTATACATATAGAGAGAGAGAGCAGGGAATATTTATTTCATATAAAGAGGCAGGATTTATAGTCAACTAAAATACTATATTGAATTCAAATACTGTATACTTACTTTTTTAATTTACTGTCATTGTTTAATAACTGGACTTTGATTTCTGGCTATATAATATGAAATGCATAAAAAAGTGATGTAAGGGTTTACGTAACCATAAGCAACGATGACAACTCAAAGTTTTATCCTTAGAGCATCTCAAAAGATGCCATCCATTTTATAATTTTTTCTTTTTTAAATCTAGGTATTCAAGGGTCTTGTTTAAATGGTATGCCTCAACACCTAATAGGATAGAACACGAGAGGAGAAGCATATTGTCAAGATTCAAATCTCTATTACTAAATCAATCATTAAGATTTATTAATTTTTTTTAATTATTTATGAAAAATCACATCATTTTAAAATAATTCATTTAGTTTTTACTCAAATGATACAATCTACAAGAATGGACATGTAAACTCAAGGCATAAATCTAAATGTGTAGCAACATGAACATGTCAATTAAAATCCATACGCAAGACTTTAATAAAAATGCATAGTCAACGCATCAAAACAAACACAAACAACCACACACAAATAGGCATGCATCAACCAACACCTTTCATGAAAGGAAACAGAAGTTCATGTGAAGTTAAGTGAGGTGAAAGTCAAACCAAATATCATAAAGACATGCTAAGGCAGGGGTATAAGCCAATTGCTCACATCATTCAGGTGTTTTAAACATCACTCAATCAAAAGAAAACAAGAGGTCTCAAAATTAGGTAAAGCATTAAGCACATTCATCTCAAAACAATGTCACATGGAGGCATCAAGCAAAACTAGGTAAGAGGCCAAATAAAGTGAGTTAAAAGGCTCTAACACACGATATGTCCATCAAGAATAAGAGGGTAGAATAAACCCTAATTGATTGCATAAGTGCATCCTTAAACAATCCACAAAGTTCAAGCACAACAAATAAATTAGGCAAGCAAATGCACCACACATGAAAAATAGTTAAAGGACTTCAAAAATTATGTAAAAATGGTCATGGAATCAAAGGGGCAGCAAGTTTGAGTGTCCCAAAGGAATGCTTAAGAAAATATACAAGAAGTACTCAAACAACAACAATCATCTAGAAAACCAATCTCAAACATGCACATACAAGATAAGCTTAAAAAATAATTCAAATATAAACCAAAATCCATGATCAATGTGTCAAATGAGTGCTCAAAGGTCCTATATACAAATACCTACATATGGGAAAAAATTAAGAACAAAACCAATTAGGAAATGCCATGTTTCCAAACTAGGTCACGTGAAACACTTCACACAAATAAATCAAAATAAAATAATAAAATATAATGAAAATAAAAATAAAAAAATATGAAAAATAAGATAAAACAACAAAGCATCATAAACATATTTTTGTTAATTTTTAAAATAGATGGAACAATTAAAAATAAAATCAGATGAAAATGACACAATAAAATAAAATAAAATAAATGAAGCAAGCAAGCTGGGAGGCATCAACAATCAAGCAATGAACTGAACTTCAGTTATAGCACGCATATGGGCCCTCATTTGCCCTTATTTCCTGAAACTGAGGGCTATGTCGAATTTAAGTGTAGGGAGGCGTTTTATTGATTTCATTTATTTTATCATTTTTTTATTATATTTCATTTTTGTTTCTTAGTTTATTTTATGCTATTGTTATTTTTATTTCGTATTTATTTTTATCTTCATAGCATAATGTATGTCTTGAGTTTTTGCATGTGTTATCGGGTCATTTACACCTGGTTCTCTTCTATTTATTAAATTCCCGATTTCTTAAGCCCTGCCAAATTTTTTTAAAAGACTTGGGAAGCTTAGTTTGATTTTAAAGTATATAGATTGTGAAAAGAGGAGAGGCTAGGTCGAGGAAACTTGGGAAAATCCGGAAAAAAAAACCGGTATTGTCATAACACCCCAAGCCTCCTGTTGTACCGCAAAATTTGACCAACCCTTTTATTGTACTTGACTTATGTTTCATTTCATTTTAGCATTTGCATATCATTGTTCTTAGCAGGGGATCAAGACAAGTGTCTCATTCAAGAGAAGACTCTCAAGAGTTTTAAACTCAAGCAAGAATGCTTATTCAAGTCATCAAGTGCTTACAATCATCAGGAAGTTGTCAGAGCTCTTTGAGAGAGAGGATTGATGTGTGTAGGTTGTCTCCTATCTTGGGGGTCAAAGGAAGATTATCAGGGGCTTATAAATTCATTGTTGTGGATAAAATGTGTTTGAGAAGCTCATTGAGTGCTTTGGAAGCCATTGTGGAGCTTGTCTATGCCTTCATTTCATTTGCAAGAGGTCACAGTCAAAGGATAAATCTAGGGTTTCATCTGGTCAACTGAGGACTTGAGGGAGTTTGAGACTTAGCTCTAAGTCATTGAGGCCAAGGGAAGTTATCTTGAGACATTTAGGATGTCATGTCAAGCTCAATTTAAGAAGAATCAAGAGTTCAAAGGGTTACTAAATTAGGGTTTCAGAGGATCTCAGTGTAAAATCCCCTTCTTTAGTGCCTAACTTCAAGGACAAGTTACCTTATGATACAAGTTCAATCTTATTTTCTTGCAAACATGAAACTGGTAGGGCATATTCTTAGCTTTCTTTTGAGTACTAGAACTCATCAATTGGGTTTGCGAAACTCAAGTTATGATGCCAACAAGTTAGAGATCTCAGATGAACATATATTTGGTCAACTAAAAGTCAAATCAATTCCAAGGCACTTTTGACTTAGAATCATGTTTCTCCTCAACTTTAGGTGAACATGAAATTTGTTCCTCATGGTATTAGCTTTCCAAAAAGTCCTAGAAGTCGTTGATATCATTTGTAGAACTCAAGTTATGGTTTTGGCAAGGCAAGGGTATTTTGGGAAGATTTGATTACAGGTCATTTGTTACATAGGTCATTTTCATGCACTTGTGTACCTCAAATGAAATTCCAACCAACATGGAAGTTGCTCCTAGAGACCTCATTTACATCATAAAGCTCAAGGATCACAATAATTAGGGATGATTATGGACATTTGGGAGATGTTTCAAGTGAAAAATGAACTTTCAAGTATGATTTGAACTTGATTCATTATAGGCCATATTTTGATCTCATTTTGATTCAGTTCACTTCATAATATACTCATAAGAAATTTGCACAAATTGGTTTTGGTACAAGAGGGAAAAAACACGTGCAATTTCACTTTTCTTCATAAAGAAGTTTCAATTCAAAACATGCAAATTGGATCAAACCAAAGGCCCAAATCAATTCTATTGTCAAATTGAACTTACATGCTGCAGATTGGAGAGTTTTTCATGAGTGAAGGAGAGCAAAATCACGTGTGCATGAGAAGCTTACCATTTTTAGGAATTTTTCCAATTAATCAAATTGAAGCCTCATGGGCCTTCCAAACCATCTGAGATCCATCATATATAAATTAAAAATTTGCCCTAAGAGCTTAGAAGTTGCATTTGGAGTTGGAGAGAGCATTTTTAGATTTGAATTTCTCAAGCAAATTTGAAAATTGAATACACTTTTTCTCTGCAAATCAAGTCCAATTGGAGTTCAATTCATCTTCCTTGAAGTATTTGGAGTGGATCTGGAGCAAGAGAAGCAAGCATGCACGCATTTGAAGCACCAACGGAGTGTCTCCGTTCAATAAGTTTCCATTCCAAATTTCTCTCATTCTAAGCCATGAATTATGTTCATACTGGTTGCATCTGAAGCCCTACATTAAGTAGGCCATGTTTGATTGCTTATTGTTCCTGTTTGGTTGAATTTCAGCATGTGCATCTCATTTTTCTTGGCTTCGATTCTCTTAATTTATAGAACATCTTGAGAATCTAAGAATGGATTCATGATCCTTGCAACTTCAACTTTCATTTGGTTCCAGTTTTGTGTATTTTGGTTAAGTTTGGATGACTATGTCTCCGACCATCTCACCGGAGAAGACGACCGGAGCTAGGGCTCTGACGTCTGGTTATAACTCAGTCAGATCTGAGGTGGCGTTGGTTTGAAACTTTGACTGCATGTGTGTCTTGTTTTTATTCGCTTAACTAGATAATTTGGCATGCTTGACTCCACGCAGATTATGAAACAATGCGTTTCATTAATCTGGCTGAGTTTGGCTTGTGGATTGGGCCCAGATTGCTACGCACACCCCCCTCTTTTCAGCCCATTTTCCATTTCAACGTGTTTCCTTTGTTTTCTATTTTTACTTCTGCACCCGTTTCCAACTTGCTTTTTATTTTATTTTATTTTATTTTATTTTCTATTTTGGTTTTGCAATTTTAAAAATAGCTCCAAATTCCTAAAAATTCCACAAAAATTATTTTCCAACATTTCAAAACTTTAATTAATTTTCTATAATTTTTAATTCTAATTTTATTTTATTTTGCAATTATTGTTGAATTTTGCAATTGGAGTTGTTTTTGAAATTGTTTTCACTTGATCATTCTTGTTTGATGTGCCATTTGCAATCACCAATGAATAAGGTTTCCTCTCCATCTTGAGGATGGATTGAGGTACCTTTGAGACTGGTTTTGGTCAAGGTTTGATCAATTTTTGTTTGACTTTGTGTTGCTTTTGTTTGACCCTCGATAATAATTTCCCAAGGTGGAGCACCCTAGTTGATCAAATCTTTTGGTGATGCCTTGATTGGAATTTGGTTTGGATGTTTTGGTCTCTGGTTTCCAACATATTTAGGTGCTTTTTGCATTTTATTTGAGATTTATTGAACAATTCTCCTATTTTTGGTGAACCTTGCAAGTCAAGTCATCCTAGTCGAAGTTCATATAAACTAATTGACCTAGTTCCTTTGGGAGATGACCTTGATGGATCCCATATGCATCATATGCTTCTTGATTAACGTTTTTGACATGTTTACGATTCTGGTTTTAATTTTATAGGTC